GTGTATGAATAAATCAATAAAAGTATTGTCATTGCGATAGTAGGAAACTTATATTGGTCGTGGTAAAATTATTTGTGCTAATTTTAGAACCTTATTAGTCCTTCACTTATAGGTCCCTAGCAGCTAAGTTTAGTCTCTGTTATCTACAATGTAAGTATATTAAGAAGGCCCCATTACTGAGAGCAAGCTCTAGATTTAACATCAGAAATGTTGGAGCCAGAATCATTCCCAGTTTTCTGGTGTGTGAGTGATGGACATGTGAGCTGAGTGAGCCCATGGTGCTGTATGAACTCTCACAGAAATAGCTGCCGTGGACCGCTTTGCCTGTTCACAAAAGAGGCTGATTCTATGGCTGTGATGCAGTGCTGCATTACTTTGTGACTGAGGTCATATCTGTGAAAACTAAGGCTTTAAAAAGGGCATAGGAAAAATTGAGAACAAGTTTTTGTTGCCCTTTCCCCCAGCTTTATAGAGGTGTGATTGACGCACAACATTGTGTAAGTTTAAGGTGGACAACGTGATTTGACACACGTGTATATGGCAAAATGAAGACCACAGTGGTTAGCTGACACCTGCATCATGTCACCTAATGACTATTTCTTTTTTGTGGTGAGAACATTTAAGATTTATTCTTAGCAACTTTCAAGTACCTGTTTTTTGCCTTTTAACTAATAGAATGTTGACTCTACCAAGTGGATTAACTTTGGCCTCTGAGATGCACATTTGTTCTCCTGCAAGTCAAGATTGAGTATTTACCCCTGTCCAAGTTTAGTTTTAGAATATTCAAATTGTTAAGCTACTGGTCCTTAAAAATTTTTTTTAATACAGTTTTTTTTTGTGTGTGTAAAAGTTTGGAATTCACAGACCACTCTAGGATATTCCATTTCTTTCCTGCTTTCAGGGCTCTTAAAATTGCTTGTATTTTTCAAAGGTAATAAAATTCAAAGTAACAAAGGAAATTCTCTTAATCATTCTTTTCCTTTCTCCTTTTTCACATGGTATACTCCAAATGGTTAGTACTAGTTTGTACCTAATAAGAATGACATTTAGGACAAAAAGTGTTTTTCCCCAAATTCGGTAGAAATTGTGGGTGTTAAGTTCCCTTACAGGAGGTTTGTTCCCTGACTTTGGGTGAGTCAGGAATTCTCTCATCTGTGACCTGAGAGGACAGTCCACTGTGTCTCTAGGGCCTTCTCAGCGCTAGAATTTTATGAATCTGTGACAATTCAAAGTCACTGAAATTCATCAGAAGCTTTATGTAGGAGTGTAGAGAAGCTAAAGAATTCTCCAAATTTGGAGAAAATTCTGTATTACTAAAAGCAAATAAAGTGATCCTAAAATCTATTGCTGATTCTAGATTTTTAAAAATAAAAAATCAAATAGAGAATTATGGCAGAAGGGAATGACATTTTCTTTACCTAAAAAACCCTGACTTTAAAGAAGAGGAATTATTTAAATATTACAAATTTTAAAATTAAATATATAGCTCTTGCAGGAAAAGCTGGTTCCTGGTTGTTGATTCTATATTCTGTTCCAATATTATACATCTGAAATCACCATGAATTTGTAACCAAAATGTTTCTGATGTTAACAGTCTTTGATTTCCTTCAACTTCTTGCTTAGCAGGAATAGACAACAAGCTCCACAAAGAATGGACAAAATAAAAGAAAACATTTGGAAAAATTCTTCTGTCTTCTTTCTCTGACTTGTTTTATTTCATTGAGGATGACTCCTGGCTCTATACTGTGTCAAAATGTAGTTTGCGGGTCATACCTGTAGTCCCAAAGTTTCTGAAATATCCCATTGACAGTACAAAGTTATAGCAACCAGGCCCTATATCCAGGAGTCGTCAAAATACCTGCCCATTTTAAGATATTAGGTGTTTTCTTTTTTAAGTAAATTAGCAAATACCAACTAAACATTCCAATACTAGCTATACAATACTATTAGCTAGAGTGAGGGCTTCATGTGAATGAGTTCTCTGCTTCTCACGAGGCAGTGGCTTTTCTTGGCTGCCCATCAGAATCAGTCTAAGGATCCCTAGGAACCACCCACTATCCAGGCCACTTCACGCCAGGGAGCGCAGTGGTCCAGGCTGGTGTTGAAAGATCAGCCCAGGAATTCCATAGGCGGCCATGGTTAGAGCCTCTCATTTGGGGTTCTTAGTTTGTTTGAACTATCACAATAACCTAGTTACTAGGGACCACCCCTAATGTCTGAACACACTGGGCTTTGGGGTAGAAAGTGTGGTAGAGATGATCTTGCAGGGTGAGTCAGGACTGAGTTGGAAGCCTGCCTCGATCAATACGATTAGGTTACCTTGGACAGGCGTTTGACTCTGGTCTGCAGTTTCATTCCAGCTTTAGCATTAATCTTTAACACTTAATAACATTATAGCAGATTTCTAGATATATCAAGAAGCCGAAGTTGGTGCAAAATTTCAATTCAGTTGTTTTGATTCAAGTGGCCATGAGATGGAGAGATTTTTAGTTTGATATTCAGCTAATGACTCACCACTGAGAAGATTTAGATATTATGAAATTGAAATTCAGTGGGTTGATGTTAGTATTTCCATTATCTAAGAACTAAAAGCTTTCTAAGCACATCAGTAGCACAAGCCTTTTTAATGCATTCTGAGTAATGTTAAGCCTACTTAAGATAAACTGTTTTGAGAACTTTGTTACATACATGTCATCCTCATTACAAATGAATTTTGCACATTCATGAAAACAGATTTGGAAACTGAGAGGCAGCAATTAGAGAGCCTAAGACCAGAGGTGGTGGATCTGGACACACGTCTGCATTTTCCCATTTATTCGCAGTTTAATTATAGGCAGGTCACTTAATCTGAGTCTTAATTTCCTCATCTGTAAAATGGGAATAATAGTATCTACCCTAATAATTTCACAGGGTTCTTATGAGGCTCAGATGAGGTCATATGTTTATTCAACAAACAGGTGACTCACCAAGGTCCCGTTCCTCGCTGGGCAGCGGCCTCACTGTGAGGGACACAAAGAAGGAGAATCGGTCCTCGGAAGGAGTGAGCACATGTGTTAGTTGCTGCTCACATTTACAAAAGTTTGTGTTGTAGTCCTTTGAAGAGGGCTTGCTCTTTCATCTCTGTGTTTCTGTGTCTCTGGGCCTGGCAGTGAACACAGAAGGAGCTAAAATACTGGTTGTATGAATAACTGAATCACATAATTCATTTCCTTGAAAATACTTTGTAACTCTAGACAGGGTCTCCTTTAAACAAGCTGAGATCAGAGTGAAGTGTGGATGTGGTTTTGTTTCTGCGCTCGTTTAAAGTTCCACACGAACTTGAACGTGGGAGTTTAACCTGGGATCCTTTCAAACCGTAGCGGTGCTTAACTTTTTACTTGGAGTTCGATTCAGTTTAGGTTAGTGTTCCCTTCTTTCCAATCACTGTTTCAACAACATCAGGAGTACTGTTTTTGGCTAATGTCCTTTTCATGTTGGGTAGTAATCCAAGCTCCAATATTTATTTTGGAAAGGAAGATAAATTCTTTCCTTGACATCCATTTTCTCCATTAAGTTAAAAAAAAAAAAGTCACTTCATCAATGTAATTTCAAGCAGCTGGATTTGAGTCTGTGCCGCTTATGGCAGCAGAGTTGGGCTTCAGCAGAGCTCCTGACATGTGGCCTGGTTCACAGTCAGCACATGGAGTTTTCACCTGGACGTTGCAGCCAGTCACCAGCTGTGGATGTGCATTTGGGGGGTGTTCACGTGTGGGTCTGAACTAGGTCAGGGCTTTGGTTGTTGTCTCTTTCTAGACTCTGTTAGGAAGATGTGAACACAGAGAATTGTGATGGCACTTTCATACTGGGTTGCAGAAATACTGAGGATTTAAGTTGTCTCTTTACTGCAGATAAGGGGTTCTCTTTGCAGCCCCTCTGTGTCGTTAGCATAGTGGGTGGAGGTCTTGTGTGCTGATGTCTAGCCTTTTATTATTTATTTGAATAATGGAATTTTAGAGTGGAAAGGACCTGCCACCCATGTTCTAGACAGACAAAACCAAGGAGAAATGAAGAGGCTGTGATGGTCAGTGTCGGTGGGGGTCCTGGTCTCTTTCTGTGGGGTTTTTTCTACTGGCTGCTCACTGAGTGGGATGTCCTGTGTGAATCCCACCAGCTTCTGTGGGTGCTCCTAGGGAAAAGCTCTTGGTCAGAATTAGGGTGACAGTCGATGTAAGATATACATAGATGTTTATGCGCCCATGTGTATGTAATTTCCTTTATCCTTAATTGCTTAAATTTATAGTAATGTGTTAAGTTTGCAAATTTATTTTGTCTTATAAAAGTAAATTCTATTTTCAAATACTGATTTGCACAGGTTGCAGACATCCCATGCTCAGTGAAGCCTACAGGCATTGGGTTGGGCTCCATCCTGTTCTTTAAGTCACTTATGGGGCCCTTGGTACGGATGCTTCTCAGCAGAGGGCACATGTTGTGTTCCCATGTTTTATGTTATAAAGTCAGTGCTGCCCCTGCCTGGTAATAAACCTGGTTCTTCTTAGTCATGAGATGAACGAACACCAGTGAGGTTAAATGTTTTGCCCAGAGCCTCACAACATCCAGTGACAAGTTGGAAATAAAATGTATGAGCCTCCTTTTGTCCAGCCTGAGCTCCTGAGTCCTGCTGCCGCCCGGGCTGCTGCTGCACTAGCTCCCTCATCCTTGGTGGCGGGGAAAAAACTGCCAAGGATTTTTTCAAGCAAAGGAAGAGTCCCATAGTCATGACTTGCTGGGCACATCATGTTACTATTTTGTGGGTCAGAGGCGTGGGGTGAGTGAGCTATGGCAGGCCCCGAGTGCCCCTGAGCTCTTACCGAAAGAGTCTGTGTCTGCGTTCTGTTCCCTGGGCTCTCCAGGTAGACTGAGTGCCCAGACCATCATGGCACACAGATAGGGAAGGAGAAGTAGCAGCTGAAGAGCATCAGGCTGGCATTGACAACTGCATGCTTTATATTGTGCTTTTTCAGAGTGCAAATTCACCTGCACCAGCGGGCAATGCTTGTATCTTGGTTCACTGGTCTGTAACCAACAGAACGACTGTGGGGACAACAGTGATGAAGAAAACTGTCTCCTGGTGACTGAACATCCACCTCCGGGCATCTTCAGCTGTAAGTCCCTCCCGCTCACCTTGGTATCATTCAGTTGGTTGTGTTTGGGGATGGTTAGGAGGCAGCGACCTGGGGAAGTGGGAAGGATGTTGTTTTTTGGTTAAGAGAAGAGGTTTGTGTTTTCACAAAGGGCATGTTTTCTTTTAGGATAGAAATATGGTGTGTCTGAGAGTCAGAAGTTTCTTCCACTTTGAGCGGCCTGTGTTTTGGTAGAGGCTTTCTACTGCTTATCTAGAAGCAGTGACTGATCCCAAGAAATAATATATTGACTTAGTATTCTTCATACTGGTTTTGTAGAATTTTTTAGAGTAATTTTAAACAATAATTTAAAAATAATTTTAAATAAGCAAAGAAAGGTACATAGAGGGTCCACAATTAAACTAGTAATTAAAATAAGAAAATAGAAAAAGTTTATATGGGACTTTTAAAAAAGGTTGCGATGATGTGTTTTTCTATTTGATATTGGATGGAAAGCAACCTGAGTGAGATGTTTCCCTGTGTGAATTCCCAGACTGAGGCTGTGAGCATTTCTTGAACTGGAAGAAGGTGAAATCCGAGTACAAAGTTCATTCATTTTTGATCTCATGGCTTTTATGAAGCGGAAGGAGCAAGAAGGTGGTTTGGAAACACTGCCGAACTTCTCTTAGGGAAAACTTCTCGTAGGGAAGTGGCTTGTTGCCTCCTGTGTTTCCTGGGCTGAGGGAAGCGGGTTGCGGTCACGGATGTTTTACAGCACTGACCCTCATCAGGGGTCTTCCCACTGAGATCATCTCAGGAAACATGTGACTTCTCTCCCCACTTTTACTGACATTATTGTGAGAAGTTATATTTGTTTTTATTTACAGATTCTAAAATTTTTGTTCTAGAGATCAGACTATGTAATACTGATCCTATAATGTGAAATGGGAGGGGATTTTAAAAGAGAAGCAGTTTTCTCTATTCCCACTGTGTTTTTATGTTGGGGGAAAGCTGTGAGTTTTAAGCCTGCTACTTATTCCTGCTAAATCGGGAGTCTAATTGTGCTGTCGTTTCTGTTGTGTCAGTTTGCATTTTCTTATATTGAGCCTTCTTATAGAGTCCCATCTCGATACTTTGAGAAGACAGTTTAAGGTGAGCTGTGTGCTTTCTTGGTGTTTAGTCCATATGCTTCCTCTGGCGATGTTTTCTGCAGTAGCCTTTGTGGTCGTCAACACTGTAATTTGCTCAGTATGCCTGCCTAGACCCAGAGGAGGAAGGGACCCCTCAGTGAGCCATGCCTGCCTGGCCCCGTCCGGCAGCTCTGAGCCTCATCTGCATGGAGGGCGTGAGGATTAAGTGGGATGGTCCACAGGAAGCACTTAGAGTCTGGTTGGTACCGAGCACTTGATACAGGCCAGTCAGCCTCAAGCCGGGGTCTTAGAAGGAGAAGAGCAGAGTGGAGGCAACATCTCACTTGTGTTCTCTAGACTTGAGTAACGTACACACTTACACAACAGATGGTGGGTAGGACATCAGGACCCTGCGTGGGGTCTCGCCTGGTCGGAGCTCCTGTGAAAAGCAGGCAGGACGCACCTCTGGCCTCTGCCCAGGGGCACTTCCCGGAGGTGTTTCCCCTTCACGTAGGTCCTGCCACTGCTGCAGTCCTGCGGTGTCCCTTCCTCCCAGCCTCTTCCCCTTTCTCATCAGTATTTCCTGGTTTATAAAGCGGATTTCCAGATATCTTTTCCATTCATTTTTTAAAATGTGAACACTTTAATTTTGCTTAGAAGCCAGGTGAAGCAGTTACATCTATAAGTGGCTCAGCATTGCCCAGGGAGCTCTGAGAGTTTGTATAGTTGATTTACAATGTTGTGTTAATTTCTGCTGTACAGTAAAGTGATTCAGTTGTACATATATATATTCTTTTCCATTATGGTTTCTCGTTTCTCACAGGATATTGTATATAGTTCCCTGTGCTGTACAGTAGGACCTTGTTGTTTATTTTTTTTATATATAGTAGTTTGTATCCTAATAGAGGAATCTTAAGATCCTGTTGGCAAGCTATTGGTCCCTAGTGTTCAGATGTAACAAGGCTTGTGCCCTTGTAGCCAAAATGGGAGGCTGTTTACAATATGCTGTCTTTTAAGAAGATTGGAAAGTCAGGAGACACAATGACAAAGGGCAGGATGAGGGCTGTGGCTTCAGGTTAACCTGGGTTCTAGTTCTAGCTTAAGGAAGCACCTGAACCCCTTTAAGGCTTAGTTTCTCACTCTGCAAAATGAGAATAATTTCTGCCATATAAGGTTGCTATGAGGATTTACATGAAATAACACACATGAAGAGTGCGGTCTGCATCATCGTCTCATCTGTCTTCGTCCCTGCTTGCCATGTGGGACATCTTGGGGAGGGGACCTCCGTGACTGCTGCCATCTGTCTGCACGGCAGAGCCTCCTTCAGGTGGAGCATGGGTTCCAGGCATCCACAGGCGAGTTCATCCTCAGAGGTTCTGGGCATTTCCCACTTCCTCTGCCCCTGCAGAAGGCCTGCTGGGGAGCCGCCAGCTGAAGGGGGTTTGCTGGGCCTGGCCCACGGTCCTCGCTCCCCTGCTGGCTCAGGGGCCTCTCATCACATATGGGTTTGCTGTGGCTGCTCTCTCCTCTGTGCTGCTGCAGGGTGATTGGGTACCGAATGACTGTACTCTCCTTCCCTTGGTCTGCCAGGCAAGAGCACAGAGCAAAGGCTGTTCTACTCCCCCTCAGCTGCCCGGCAGGGCTTGGATGCTCTCCACTTGGGAGGGGGTCTGCAGGGCCCACCAGCCTGCATCTGCAGCAGGCGTACCTCTGTTGGGGGCGCCACTTCCTCCCTGCCTTGGGAACTTGGAATATTACAGGACTTCTTGTCTACAGACTAATGCATCCTAAGAAAACAAAGAGTGCTTTCTCCTTATTCCTGTCTAAGAACAAGAGTCATTTACTTGATCTGCTTTGTACCCAAGTAAGGGAAACACTCAGTGTTCTACTCTTTGATCGCACTTAGGTTCAAGCAGGGTGGAATCAGTTTTCTGCCTGTGTTGTTGGCTGTGGGCATGCGCCCTGGCTCAGGTGTCTTGGTCCTCTCTCTCATTTCATATTTGCTAAAATTTAGAATGAATTAAGGTTAGAAAGAAAATGTCACTGTCATTTGTGAAGGCAGCAGTGCTAATGATAATAGAAGCCCTTATAGTAGCTGTAAGAAACTTTTCCTTCCTGAGTGGTCTCACTGCTTCTCTGCCTTGCTGATCCGTGGCCTGAGGTGAGGCCCTGGTTCAGTGGGCCCCAAGGCCCTGCACAGGTGTGGGGACGGGGCTATGCCAAGTGTTTCACGGGGAAGGCGTCTTGCTGGTTCATCTTTTTACAGAAGAAGGAAATGCTGTGGCCAGCTTTTCCCATGTCTTTTCTGTTCCTCCATCAAAACATTGTACTTCTGAGGGACTTCCCTGGTGTCACGTACAGTGTACAGAGACATCCGCACAGCGAGTCACTGAACATCAATGTAGGGGGCACGGGTTCGAGCCCTGGTCTGGGAAGATCCCCCATGCCGCGGAGCAACTAAGCCCGTGCGCCACAACTGCTGAGCCTGTGCTCTAGAGCTCGCGAGCCACAACTACTGAAGCCCACGCACCCAGAGCCCATGCTGTGCAACAAGAGAAGCCACCTCAATGCGAAGGAGTGTCTTTTGGGGAACTGAAAGACACTCGTACAAAGACGACTCAACATGAACACAGGCTACCAAGCCGAGTGGCCCCAGCAATTCGTGGTCCAGGAGTCCACAGAGGACCGTTCTGCTGGGACGTGGTCACGTTGGCTTCGCAGAGGAGGCGTGCTGGGTGTCAGGGCCAAGGACGGTGGAGTGTGGGTGAGCGAGGCCTTGGCGGGAGGCTGGAGGCAGAGAGCGAGCCAGTCACGCCACACCTCCTGCCCTTGTCACTGAAGGGACGGACCTTGGGTCCCCAGCTGCACAGCCTGCCTGTCGCCTGTGATGCTGGCCCTCCTCACTGGGCTTTGGCTCCGCAAACCCACTACTCTTTGAAGCCCCTGTGCCACATCTTGGTGGCGGGAGCAGTTTCTCTGGCTTCTGAGAAGCAGGCACTGAGCAGCCTTGAAGGAACCATGTGCTTTGAAGGCATTGGCAAGAGCAGGCCTTCCTCAGTCACTGCTCAGGAGTCATGCCCTGGAGCTGGTGAGCACAGAGGGGTCCCTGCGACAGCTTCACCTCCAGTGAATGAGGGGGTCCGACATGGGGGGGGCGGTGGGAGGAGAGGGTGGCACTCTCACCGTTACTGGTGGCTCTTTGCTTCTTTCTTCATTGGTGGCCTAGTAAACGTAATCTCAAAGTCAGATGAGCTGATGCTAATAAAGTTCCCCGATTCAGCCAGGATTTTAACTTCAGGACTTTTCAGAAGGAAACTGTTTTTTTGCCCAGGGCTGTTTAGGGTAATAACTACCAAATAAGATAAATTCAGCACATTAAAATCTGAGCTGAGTGTCTTTCTTCCCAAATCAGCTCTCCAGCTCTTCCCACCTTCGTCGGTTTTTTCCAAAGGGACTGGCACTCTCCTTGTCACCGAGCTGTGCTCCCCTGTGCCCCATGTCTGGCTGTCTGCTCCCCGCCTCCCCAGGACTTTATTCCTTCACCCACTCACTCAGCTTTGTCAAGATAGAGTCGACACACAGCACTGTGAGTTCAAGGTGTCAGTGTGACATCTTGAGTCACGTGCAGTGTACAGAGACATCCGCACAGCGAGTCACTGAACATCAGCACTGTGTATTTGGGACCATGTTCGTAACCATGTAGAAACCTATTCACAACCAGGCTTCACAGAGACCGGACCTTTATTTTTTGTTTATTTCATTAACGATAATTCTCTAATAACATTCATATTTCTCCAGCTGTCTTATAAATTGTTTTGTTATGTTTACAGTTTGTTTGAAGCAGGATCCAAAGGGGCCCTAAGCGTTGTTCCAGGATGCTGTGCTGTCCCCTGAGGAGTGTTTTCTATCTGG